GGGGGGGGAGACACACAGTGCCGCGCGGCCCCTGAGCGGGTGCCACACCTGCCAGGCAGGCCTCCCTCTCCCCTGGCTCTCACCTTAGGTATCGTATCTCACGTGTACTCGGAGCAAGGCTCCCTCTAGCTGGGGCACCCTGGCTCGGAGGATGCCCAGTAGTAAGAAAAACCAAGTGGTATATGCCCACATGGGAAGGACAGAGCGAGGGGCTGGACAGAAGCGGAGAGCAGCAGGTGTGGTTTTACAGACACAGAGCGTTCCCACAGAAAAGGCAGTACATGGCACAATCGGGCCCAGAGGCCTCTAGAGGGCTTAGGCGTGAGCTCCTGGCCACCCAGGACCTCCATCACACACCGCACATCGCACACAGCACGCCTCCCCACAGGGTCTCTCCTGGAGTTCTCGAAGCTGTCACATAACACACTGCTGGACCCTTGGTCACTCCCCCACCCCCCACTCCTCCCCCAAGCTTAGCCACGCACACAGCAAGATCCTCCCTCCCAACTCAACTCAGTCTTTCATAGTGAAGTATGTACATCATCTTGAGACCCTTAAGGAATTCCCAACTCTTCAACCTCACTCTGGTGATTCAAAAGATGGCTTGGAACCAGCACGGAGACAACTCATCCACTGTGCCAGTGGCCCGGCCTGCCTGGTGCTGGGAAGCTCTGAGGGACTAGGCATGAGGTGCCTGGAGGGTCCTCAACCCGGCTCAAGCAGTCTCTCTGAGAGCAGGTGACACACCAAGCATTTCACAAAATCAGCAGACAAACCATCTGTAGAAAATGGTGTCTGTTGCAGGGCACCGGTGGCTCATGCCTGTAATCCTAGCTACTTAGGAGGCTGAGATCTGAGTATTGGTTCAAAGCCAGCTTGGGCAGGAAAGTCTGTGAGACTCTTATCTCCTTGTTAACCACTAGAGCACCGGAAGTGGCGCTGTGGCTCAAGTGGTAGAGCGCTAGCCTTAAGCTGAAGAGCTGAGGGACAGCGCCCAGGCCCAGAGTTCAAGCCCCATGACTGACCAAAAAAAGAAAAGAAAAGCAAAGAAAGAAAAGAATATGAAAGCCAGGCGCTGGTGGTTCACGCCTGTAATCCTAGCTACTCAGGAGGCTGAGATCTGAGGATCACGGTTCAAAGCCAGCCCGGGCAGGAGAGACCGTGAGACTCCTATCTCCAATAAACCACCAGAAAACCGGAAGTGGCGCTGTAGTTCAAGTGGTAGAGCGCTCGCCTTGAGCTGAAGAGCTGAGGGACAGCCCCAGGCCCAGAGTTCAAGCCCCACGACCGACAAAAAAAAAAAGAAAAAGAAAATGAAGTCTGTGCTCAGCCATGGATATGAGAGGGCACCTTACCACATGGCCCTCGCATGAGCCCCCCCCCCCCAGCCCTCCTACAGGTTGTCTAGGGCCCTGTGGGGAATGTGTGAAGCACTGTCAGTCAGGGAGCCAGGGCTGGAGGATCACAGGCCCCCAGGGTCTGGGCCAGGAGATCAGGTGGAGACAGGGTGTGAGACAGGCTCTGTCGGTAACACATACGGCTGCTCCCTAGCCAGGACAACACAGAATAATAACCTCAGGTGTCAGCCAAAGGGCGGATGTGGGGGGGGGGGGAGGGAAGGGAAAAATACAGGACTCTGTACAGGTTAAGACTGAACATCCCCAACCTGATAATCCAGAATCTAAAATGCTCCACACCCTGAAACACTCTGAGCACAAACATGATGCCACAAGCGGAAGATTCCAGGCTGTGCAGCTCTGTGTCATATGCAATTTTTAAAACATTGTATAAAATGACCCTCAGGCTATGTGCATAGGTGGACATGAAAGGTGAGTCTCATGTTTAGACTTGGACCCTATCCTTACTGGCTATGTGCAAATATTCCACAATCTGACAGGGGATAAAAGGCCTGCATTGTCTTCAGATGTTTCCTGCAAATCTGAAACTGTTCTAAACTCCAGATACTAAGGATGCAGTTCAGAGAAACATCTGCAATTGTGCTTCTGAGGGGTTACCGCCCACGTTTCCCACTTGCCCTTCCAGGGGAAGCCTTCAGAGGGCCTCTGTAGTGCAGCCGTTGCCTGGAACGCTGCTTGGCTGCCACCCTGTGGCCATTCGTACACAGTACATCTCCAGGAGGGAATGCATCCTGGGACCTGTCTCCAACTCCCAGCAGTAAAACCAGCTGGCAACACACCACAGCACGGGAAAGTGGGAACAAGGTGCTAGCTCTGGTCACTGAACACGTCTTAGTTTCCAGAAACAGAGCCTGCCTTTCTCACCAAGGCTCAGTATTCGCCAGCCTCCTGCAGATCATCAGGGAACTCTATCTTGGGACCCCAAGTCCACAAGCTGTGGGCTACACTCACCAGCTTGAAAGAGAATGGTATTTCCTGCTGAGCACAAACACACAACAGGGAGTCCTCACAGGAGACCAAGAATAATAGATGAAAACTCATGCCATTCTGCAAGAATTCTACACATCTCACACTGGGTCCTTGTGATGATGGCTTTTCTGTGCTCCTTCACCAGAGAGAGATCCCAGTAATCTGGTCAAATCCCAACTACAGAAACACCCCCAAGGCTAACATTCATAACTAGGGACCTGAAATGAAGGAGCCTGCGTCAACGGAGAGGCAGGTCTGAACAGAATTGGGGTCTTGAAACACCTCAAGCCTCCCCGAAGAAAATGAAATCAACTGTAAACCACAGTCAGTCTGAGCCTAAACAGCAGTGGAATTCTGACCACACAGGCCTTGAGATGTCTTCTATCCAACAAACCTGTTCCTACACAACTTCTGAATTCTACCTGTGGGATAAAGTCTAGAAATTCCTGGAATTCCCTCCCCCAGGCATAACATGCCTCTTCCTTAAAGTCATATAAACCTGTACCATGTCCTCAGTCCTCCTCTGCACTGGGACAACCACCCAATGTCCAGACGTCCTGTCCTCCTTCACAAGCGTCCCATACTTCCTGCCTCTCCTCAGTCTTGGGTGAGACAGTGGTTTCTTGCTTTCTCATATTTAGACGTAGCCACAGCATCTGATTTGTTACATGTCTCAAGCCCTTTTCCTCATCTGGATCCTGGCGCAGCTCAGAAGTACACAGACATCCCCATGCTGGAACCTGGGGTTGGTCTGGTCACTGTCATGTTCCACATGGCCCCAATGTGGAACACCTGAATCCTGAAAACTCACCACTGTCTGCTGAGTTCTCAAAGATGCAGACACCCAAACAGACATAGGCACTGTGCTCTGGAAAGACCTCAATTCAATGTTAAAGGAATTGGAAAAGCTAGGAAGGGAGAGGGACGAGAGCCACACCAAAGAGAGGGTCATGTCAGGTGAGATCTGAAGACAGATACCCTGACAGTGGACTTGGAGCTCCCTACCCTGAAATGAACTCACTCGTCAACTCGGCAGTCTGAGACTCATGCACGTCGAGATGGAGGATGGCTGTCACGTGTGAGCACGCAGGCTGTGTGGGAGCACCACAGGGACACCCAAAGTGCCTCTAGTCTGAGAAGTCGTCCAGACACTGCCCAGCTGGCTGCTCACCTGCACGCCAGACAGAGCAACTCCTCTCTGCAGCATTGGCGGCTCCTGTGCTTCTAAGTGCGAAGGCGTCTTCCAGAAGCTCAACCTTCTTGCTGAACTGTACTTCTAAAATGGGAATGACCTCTGGCATCTTGGCAGATATCACTCGATAAGTCACATCTGGCTTCCCAATAAACCGCTGGCGTATGCTGACTTCGTAAGGTGAGTGGACCTTAATGTCATCTACATCTTCCCTCTCGAACCTGTGCAGAAGCAGAGAGCTGGAATCATGGATTTCCAAGCCAGAAACCAAGAGGGTAAGCCTTCCTGGTTTCATGTGAGATTCTGTTCTTTGGGAAATAACGGCAGGGATTTTGATCACAACCCCTTCCTTTCCAAAAGGCTCACAACCAGCTATGTAGGTGCCCTCCTTGGGCTTTGCTTCTGCTGGTGTCTTCCAAAGCTTAGAGCTGAAGGGCCACCAGGAAGGGGACTCCAGTTCTGTCAATAACCTAAAAACGCAAAGAAAACACAACTAGCTTTAAAGACAATTGAATCAATTGGTTTTAGAAGACCTCTGTTAAGCAGATCATGATTTTACAACCAAGCTTTATCAGCAATGACTAATGAGGCAGGAAAGGCAGGCTGTTGCCTCTCCTAGGGCTCAGAGTGAGAACACCTGCCCAGAGGCACTGGTTAACCAGCAGAACTCAAAACATTTGCAGAACAAAAAGGAATTCTTGAGAATTAAAATATAACCAAAGGAAGGAAGAGAAACTCAAGAAATATAGACTATAAGAAAAACAAAGAGGGGCTAGGAAGGTGGCTCAGTGGTAGAGCGCTTGCCTTGCATGCCTGAGGCCCTGGGTTCGATTCCTCAGCACCACATAAGCAAAAAGAAAAAAGCCGGAAGTGGCGCTGTGGCTCAAGTGGTAGAGCGCTAGCCCTGAGCTGAAGAGCTGAGGGACAGCGCCCAGGCCCAGAGTTCAGGCCCCACGACCGGACCCAAAAAAAAAAAAAAAAAAAAAAAAAAACAAAGACCCATGGCAAAATGAAGAGAAAATATGTAAAGTTTGACAAAAAAAAAAAAAGTTCTACAAAGACCATATATATATTTTTTTAATCAGGGAAAGAAATAATACAAGAAAAATTTCCAGTCTGAGAGACAAACTCTGCAAGCTCAAATCACAGCTGAAAATGCATTAAAAAAAAAAAAACAGAGCTGGGGAGGTGGCTCAGTGGTAGAGCGCTTGCCTTGCATGCATGAGGCCCTGGGTTCGATTCCTCAGCACCACATAGGCAGAAAAAGTCAGAAGTGGCACTGTGGCTCAAGTGGTAGAGTGCTCGCCTTGAGCTGAAGAGCTGAGGGACAGCGCCCAGGCCCAGAGTTCAGGCCTCGTGACCATGACCATCATGACCATCATGACCACCACCACCACCACCACCAACAACAACAACAAAAACACATCAAAACATAGACCATTACAGGAGAGGGCAAGACTTTGCTTCTGTGATCTAAGACTTGAGGATGCAACCTAATGACTAAACAGAAGCCAGATGTCAATGGAGTCCCAGCATTCTCTGAACTTATGGGACTCAGTGTTGATGACAAGGATGGCTTTCTGAGATACTGCCCACTGGCATCCACAGGAGATGCGCAGCCCTGCCCCGATGTGTGCTAATTACAGCATTGCACTTCACCGGGTCTGCCAGGTGGGGATGAGACAGTGAAGGCCTCCAGGGTCACTCACCGATCAGCCACATCTAAGTCTGACTCCATCTTCTCTAGGCCTCTCATGACACTGTCCAGCTGCTCACCCTGGTGGTTCAGTACCTTTGCCGTGTCTTCTAGACGCCTCTGGGAGCCTGCCATCAGAGCCGTCAGCTCCTGCCCCCTGGTCTTGGGGGAGGTGTTTGCATCGGCACCAGCACCAGGCTGGGACAGCAGCAGCTCCCTCCAGAAGTGCTCAATGACATTGAAGACAACATTGCGACTGGGTCGCAGAGAGCTGAACCAGTGCTTCCGGTGGCCCTCCTCGAGGATAGTGACAGCACTGAAAACGAAGTGTGATGCTTCCTTTCTGATCTCTGTGATGCTGGAGAGGGGTAAGCCAAGGAGGGCTTCTCCAGTTCCATCTGTGCTGAACTTCAATGAGCGTGGTGTCAGGGACAGTTTCCCAGGGACCCATCGCTTCTCAAAGTCCAAGTAGTAGGAGCAGGGCCAGGAGTGGACACAGATATCGCTGCTCATCTGTCCCTAAGTGGGCTGGGCTGAGACCACAGTGTTTACTTCTGTGGAAGACAGACAATTAGCAGATAGGACAAAGCTAAATGTCTAGAAATACAGTAGGAAAGCCAACTGGAAGAAGGTTAGTCTCGAAGCTGCTCTTGGCACTTCTTGGTAGCCTCAGGATGAAACCAAGCCCCCAGTCAGAAAGTGAAGGGTGCAAGGATAGGGTAGAGAGTTGAGATGAGAACCAAGACAACGCCCCCACTCAAGTCCTAGACCTGTGCCTAGATCCTCAGTCCCAATATGAAGCTCTCCACCCCTGCTGTGCTCTCTAGACATGCCCGGAGGAGAGCAACCACTGGATGCCACGCCCCAAATCCTAGGCCTGCTTTCTTTGGCAAGACTGATAGCTTAGCCACAGACCCCACAAACGCGACCTTATGGCTGTGATGCCCCTATTCCCACTCACCCCTACAAAGTTATACTCTGTCTCTGTCACATGAACACAATTTTATGAAGAAGTGAATTTACCGTACGTGTGCATGTGTGTCAGTATTAAACTCAGAGCCTAGGCACCGTCCCTCAGCTTTTTGCACTTAACACTGGTGCTCTACCACTTGAGCCACAGCTCTACTCTCAACTCATGGACTTTCCTACTTGGGCTGGCTTGGAACTGTTATCTTCAGCTCTTAGCCTTTTAAGTAGTTGGGATTACACCTCGCTGTTAATTCATTTTTAACACTGGGAGAACAAATTTCTAATAGGGTCCCTCAAACATTAAGAAGTGTGAGCATTTCACAAAATAGTTCAGGGATATAGGAATGTTCCTGGGTCAGCTAACAGGTCTGCAAGCCCCTGATACACAAATGATATGCTGGGCAGCAAGTACACAAGAGGCAATGCTAAGCCAGGCGAAGGTCACTCACGCCTGTCATCCTAGCTGCTCAGAAGGCTGAAATCTGAGGATCGTGGTTCAAAGCCAGCCTGGGCAGAAAAGTCCCTCTAAGACTCTTATCTCCAATAAACAACTCAAAAAAAGCCAGAAGTGGCACTAGCCTTGAGCACAAAGAGGCTCAGGGACAGAGCCCAAGCCCTGAGTTCAAGCCCAAGACCAGCAAAAAAAAAAAGAGGCAATGCTGGTACAGGCACTGACTCATGAGGTATATGGTGAAAGAGAAGCCCATAAAGTCTCTCACTGAGCCACCCTGTGAAGAAACAGTTTTCAAAATAATCATAGAAATGGAACCTGGGTACAAAGGACTGTGTACATAGAAATGGAACCTATATCAAAATGAGGCACATCCACAGACTGCAGTCCCCAGGCAGAGGAGCCCTGAGTGGCTGGGCTGCCAACAGACACAGGCACACACACGCATGCGCGCACACAAGTTAGAAATAATACACAAATTCAGCAACGTTTTTGAAATACAAAATTAGCATACAAATAAACAGACTGCTGGAAAAGACATCAAGCATAAGTGACAAAATAGTAGGAGAGTATTTTTATAATGACAATGGGACATTGATTAAAGAAATTATAAAAGCCAGGTGTTGGTGGCTCGCGCCTGTAATCCTAGCAACTCAGGAGGCTGGGATCTGAGGATCATGGTTCAAAGCCAGCCCGGGCAGAAAAGTCCGTGAGACTCCTATCTCCAATGAACCACCAAAAAACTGGAAGTGGAGCTGTGGCTCAAATGGTAGTAGAGCACTTGCCTTGAGCTGAAGAGCTGCGGGACAGCGCCCAGGCCCAGAGTTCAAGCCCCATGACTGACAAAAAAAATATAAATAAAAATAAAAAATAAATTACACACACACACACACACACACACACATACATATATAGAGGGGGGGAACTATACTGTGTTCATAGATTAGAAGAATATTGATAAGATACTTGAAGGATCCACAGTGATCTGTGAATTCAACACAAACTCCATCAAAATGACAATGATATTCTTCACATAAATAGAAAAACGTAAAACTCCTATGAAATCACAAAAGATCAATAGAATAGCCAAAGTGGCCCACAACAAAACAAAACAGATGGAGGAATTGCTGTAATTGACTTCAAAGCATAATACATAGTAATCAAAACAGCATATTATTGGCATAAAAACCAACACAGAACAATGGAACCTAAATATGCTTCCATATACAAACTAATTCTCAACAAAGGTACAAAAACATACAGTAGAGAACAGACAACCTCTTCTTTAAAAGCAACAAAAACAGAGCCAAAATTTCAAGGACCTAAATGTAAGGCTTGAAGCTAAGAAATTACTGTAAGGAAAAAAAAAAGCCAATACTTCAAGACAAGGAAACTAACTTTCAGGTATGTATTAATAAAGGTATTTTCTTCGCTATGACAAATACCTGCAGTGCCTTGGTTCAGGGCTTCAGAGGGTTCAGATTACACCAGTGTGTGTCTGTGGTCAGACAGAACATCATGGCCGAGAGGAAGTAGCGAAGCAAAGCAAGAAGCCAACTGAGAGTGGCAAGAAGAGAACAGGGACAAGATACCTTTGAAAGGTGTCCTCCCCATGACCCAGCTCCTCAACCAGGCCACATTCCTAATCATGACTTTGGTATGCATAGTGGATGCATCATAAGAGATAAATTCAGTGACTAAGTCAGAGCCTATCGGATCCGTCACTTCCCTAATACTCACCATCTAGCAAACAAGTCTAAAGCACATGAGTAAACCTTCAGAGGCCATGTCAGAATTTCCCCACAGCAAAGAAAATAACCAACAACAGTGACAGCCTACAGAATGGGAGAATATACTTGGAAACTGTTCAACAAGATAGGGTTCCCATCCAGATGCTCTGATTCTTGGCTGCCATGAGGACAGCTTTTCTCTGCCACGTCTCCCGTCTGCCTCACCACTGCAGAGAAGCATGGTGGCAGTGACTGTGGAATGAAGCCACAGTGATAAAAACTGACAGGGAGGGAGCTCACCGGAAAAAGGTACTTTCAAAATGGAGCAGATATCTATCCCAACATGTGCAAATGCAACCAAGAAACAAAAGATGTACTACCGAAAATTAAAAAAAACAACAACAACTTGACTATTCTAAAACTTCAAAACTCTTCAACAACAAAATCACAAAATAGATGAAATGCTGGACAAAAACACTCAAAAGGAATTTAAAAAATAATCAGTCACTTCAAAGGGGATAAACAGCTGAGTGAAATAAAGAAAACAATATAAGGTGTACATGAGAAGTTTTAACAGAGAGAGAGAGATTCTGGAAAAAAAAAAGAATCTTGGAAATGAAAGTCTCAATAAAACTCAAATGATAAAACTGAATAAAATTTCAGGGGAAGGCATCGCTAAAACACTGAATCTACCAGAGAAAAACATATCACGGCTTAAAGACAAATTCAATAAGTTATTATACTTAGGCAATAAGAAAAACAAAAATTATGACCTCAATATTTATGACTTCTAGGACAAGATCACAAAATCAAATTTATAAATTTTTGGTAAGGCAAAGACAATTTTTTCAGTAAAATAATAGTAGAAAATGTCCCAAGTCTAGGGAAAGCTTACGGACATCAAGATAAGAGGCCCTGTGAATCTCAAACAGACCAGAAAAGAGCCTTTCTGCATCATAGTTGAAATACCAAGAGAACAGGACAAAAACAATACAGAGAGCCACAAGAGGGGCTGGGAACGTGGCTGGGTGGTAGGGTGCTTGCTTGCCAGCATGCATCAAACCATTCCTCAGCACCACACGCACAGAAAAAAGCCGGAAGTGGTGCTGTGGCTCAAGTGGTAGAGCGCGAGGGCTAGGCTTCACGATGTCTGTGAAACCACCAGCCACAGCATCTGGCCAGGTACAGGGATGGCTGTGACTCAGTTTCCCCACTACATTCCCTACTGCTAGCCTTGACCAAAAGCAGCTCAGGGACAGTGCCCAGGCCCTGAGTTCAAGCCCCAGGACTGGCCAAAAAGAAAAGAAAAAATACCCAGTCCTCCCAAGAGTAAGAACTGTTAGGCACTGTTAAAGCTCTATCATTCCCAGTGATAGGCCCTCTTTAGGCACTTCTTTTAATGTTTATTTTTCCTTTAAATAAGTTAAGATGTAGGAGCACAATGATTTGTCTCCCTAAGTTTTTAGACCCTGATGTTACCTTGAGTAGTAAACTGCCAGCCAAATAACCCTGCTTTGTCAGCCAGCCAGTCATCATGACAACCCTGCTACTTTAAACTTTCAACCAACACCCTGAACAAGCTATACAAGTGCTTGCTGCCAAAACACAACTCTGATTCCAGAAGTACAACTGTTCTAAACTGCTTACAATGGACTTTGCCATCAGAAGCCTCAGTGAACTCTAGCACTCATTTTCACCCAGGCCAGAGGGAAAAACACTTCCTCCCAAGGTCTAGTAGAAGGTCTGCAGTTGGAGCAAACAATCCTTCATTTGCATGAAGGACTGCACTATGATTGGTGTAAACATCTTTACCTCAACCACTCACTTTCTTCTAGATATACAAACACTTTGGAGACACTCTCCTGTGTGCTCTCTGGTATTATACCACTGGGTCCTTAAAAGGCCTTTCTTGCCTACTTTTGATGTTTATCGTTAGTAGAGAGGGCTAAAGGGGTAACCAGAGGAGACAGCTGAAGTAGCAGCAAAGGCAACAGCGGTGGTGGTGAAAGGGCAGTGAAGAGTTACAGAAAGTGAATGGGGTGAGGAACAAAAGTAGAGAAACAACAAAACACTGGCTGAAGACAACGAACTACAGTGGTGGTCACTTGAAGAGTTCTAGGGAGCTGCCAAGCCTTAAGTTTCAAGGATACTGGTGGCTCATGACTTTATTCCGAGCTACTCAGGAGAATTGAGAATTATGATTCAAAGCCAGCTCAAGCAGGAAAGTCCGTGAAAGTCTCATCTCCAATTAACCCCAAAAAAAGCCAGAAGTGGAGCGATGACTCAAGAAGTATGGTACTAACATTGAGCAAAAAAGCTCAGGGACAGCTTCCAAGCCTTAAGTTTAAGCCCCAGGTCTGGCAAACACACACACACAAAGAGTCAAGGGTCCAACATCCTAGGGCCAAGCGACCCTACCTTGGGCCCAGTAACTGTAGCATAGTGCTGTGGGAGCAAGGCTGCCACACCCGAGGGTTTGCTGGTGCTGTCTGCTACTGCTGCTAGTCAAGATCGCAGTAACTTCAAGGGCTGGTGCCACTCAAAGCCAGAGCAGCAAGCCTCCAACCTGAGTGCCATAAGTCTTGGAGGAACAGGCCCCGACCTCTTGGAGCATTTGGATCTGCCAGTCTAGCATTGGAGCAAGCACTCAAGGGCTATGGACAGAAGAGCTTCTTTTCTCTTACTTGTGATTTCTAACTGGGGAGAACAAAAGGACCCCAGAGAGCCAACTGTTAGCAAGAACATGGTTTGATACATACCTATTCAAGGTCCTGGCTCCTGGATTTCTTCACAATTGTCATGGTTCACAATATTTGCTCATCTGAGATGCTGGAGTATATAGCTGAGATCCAGCCTATAAACTGTTCACTGCTGCCGCCTGGAGTCCTATTGACAACAACCTTTATCAAGACTGTATGAAACAAGCTGAAGAGACCAGAGTGATATGATGGCCTGTCCATTAAGGATATTAGGAGCCTACTACTGTAACTTGAATCTGTCTATCTTATGAGTGCTGCCACGTGGCCTTAGCTTTTACCATCATCCAAACATATAACCTCAGAACAGCATGTTGGTGCAGAAACAAAGAGGATGAAGGACAGAGGAAGAAGAAAAAGTTTACTAAGCACGATGCTAAATTTACACAAACCTGAAGTGCTAAGTTAAAGCATAATGTGCTAGGAAAATGGAAAACAGAAAAGGAACAGACTGGACTCGATTGTCAACAGGTGAGGATGTTTTTTTTGCCATGGGTTTGGAGGTTGTGTGAAGGACTGGATTTTGGGGTAGGTATATATGTTTTTTGTTTTTTTTACCAGTCCTGGGGCATGAACTCAGGCCTGTGTGCTGTCCCTGAGCTTCTTTTGCTCAAGGCGAGCGCTCTACCACATGAGCCATAGCATCACTTCTGGTTTTTTCCATTTATGTGGTACTGAGGAATCAAACCCAGGGCTTCATGCATGCTAGGTAAGCACTCTACCACTGAGCCACATTCCCAGCCCATATAAGGTCTGAACAAGGAAGCAGAGGATAAAAAATGAGCTACGGTCTCTTGGAGGCCAAGGGTGGTGTCCTTGGTCAGGCCCAGAGTGGAATGCTCTACCTGGGGTGAGGGGCTTTTAGCTAAGCCAAGGTCAGAATGACCTTCCTGCAGCGGGACCCAGGAGCGCCCATCTGGTGCTGTGCTTGACCTGGGGGAAGAAGGCAGGAGTCAATCTTGCATATTCCATCTTTAGATACATGAAAAGATGAGCTGAGAGGAGAGCAACCTGGGAGTTAAGAGAACAAAGTAGATTCCCACCAAAATGACCACTCCCTTGTGAAATAAATTCAGCTTTGCGGGTTTCAGTGTTTCAAGAACTTTCTCTTTGCCACAATAGCAAGGGCAGGTCCAAATCCATGAAATAAGCATCTATACCAATCCAACACCATTAGTTACTCTTGCCAATCACCAGATCACTGCTCTAATAGTTACTAAATCTGAAATCAGGACATAGCCTGAAGAAATCTGCCATGATCAGTATGAGAGTCCTGTCATCACAAAATAAAGTCAGACAGGAGACTTAAAATGAACAGGAATGTCAAGGGAATGTTAGAGGGGTCTCAGGGATAACCTGAAGGTGCAGAGGGGAACCCGGGCCAATGGTAGCCCCACTGGGCCTCCTAAGAACTTGTCCTTGGCCAAACCAAGAAGAACCTCCATGTTAAAGACAAACAAAACACCTCACACTTTCACCTCAGGAAAGCTCTGTGAGAGACAGCCAGGAAGTTTATGGGCTGATGTCACTGGAAAATGGAGAGAAATTTTCTCAGCTGTGGAAGACATCTCCTGAACAGAAGGCTGACCTTGTCTCCCTGAAGGAGGGCTTGCTGGGAGAGCCTGGAGCACAAGCTGCTCCCTAACACACATCAGGGCCATAGCAGCAGTCCCCAACGAGAGAAGCCCTTCCAATCTAATGGTGTCTCTCACTGAATGGATAAACCCCAATGAACCCTACTGGAAACCCACATGTGAGCCGTGCTGTGGCGTCCTGTAGGACGGGGCAGGAGCCTGGCCTTCTAGGCACAGGCTAGTCAGCTTAGTGGACACGGGCACAGCACCCTAAGTCACATACAGGACATGGGCAGTCACTGGTATCTACTTCTCACAATTAGGAGAGACACTTCAGCTCAGCCATGGTCTTCAAAGTCTATACACTGAAGACAAGGAGCCCCATGCTGGGACAATAGTGAACCTCTGAAGATAACCATGCCCCATTCTCGGGGCCAAGACAGGCCTCCCACTCCTGAGCTACACCAGACCTGCCAGAGAAGAACATGCTCATTCAATGCCTGGGTACCTGTAGGAAAAAAAACAAACACACTCGCTTTTTCCAACACTACTCCTAAAACATAAACTGAAGTAAGGTGGCTGGGCCTAAATAATTTCCTGTGGACTTCCTGGGGCCCAGGCAGGAGATGGGGGCTGTCCACCCGGCCCCAATGCCCGGAGGCAAGGTGAGCTGTCCTCTCAAGGGCAGATGCCTGGCTCACTGGGGTGAATGTGGAGGGCCTGGCCTTAGAGAAGTGCAGATGTCATAGTCTTAGGAGAGCTGAGTGCTCTGATTCTGCATGGATTAGCTCGAATGGCTTGAACCACGCGGCTCTGAGTAGCCTCTAAGCATACTCATATGGAAGGTCGAGGCCTATCTTCCCTGGATGGAAAGGTCTGCTGGTACCTGAGTATGTCCATGTAAGGTCTTCACGGTGCAGTGCAGGAACGTGATCCCTGGAGACAGGGGCGGGCACTCGGCTGATAGGTTACTGAACCTGCCAGTCTAGCACCTGGGACTGGGAGTGTCCTGTGTCCCCCCGCCCCCCCCAGGACGCCATGCTGTGAGTCTCCATGCCTCCTGGCTTGTCCCTGGTCATATGGCGCTCCAGTTCAGCTCTCCACTGGAGCTGCACTGGTTTGTTGGTATTGTTTTGTTCTTTCTTCCCTCTCTGTCCTGTTTCCTAATTGTGTTAGGTGTATTTAGGGGCTGCAGGCCTTTGTAACAACTGGCTGCATGCAGCCTGCGAACTGTGTAATAGACTCCAATATTCCATCTACCTAAATATGGCTTCTGGATAATTCACCTTACAACAAAACCACTTCTGACCACAGATACCAGAGTTCCCCTCCCGCCACTAGTCAGCAATCCTTCTAAAGTAGACATCAACCAGGTGTTCTCCAGTCCAAGTCCATTCCAACAGTACTTCCCTGAAGACAACAGCAGATTCCACCAATTCAGGACCCAGTCCCCAAAATGTCCTCCAATTCTAATGTCAATGTCACGCCCAGGCTATCTTTCTGTGCTTCTGACAGACCAAATGTAAGTCTGGGTCCCAAGACACTTCCCAGCGCTCCTTTGTGGTCTTTAGTGGTCTTTACGGAGGCTTCATTACACTGGTACGGCTGAGGAAGCCACTGGCTACTCACTGATAATCGGCTCAACTTCAGGCTTGGTCCCTTCCCTGGAGGCCAGAGGTAGGACTAAAAGTCTCAATCCTTTGATCCTGCTTAGACTTCTCGTGATCACTCCCACCTCAAAGCTACCTAGGGGTAGCCAGCCAACAGTGAGCTCACTAGATACAAAAGACATCACTGGGGGCTGGGAAGGTGGCTCAGTGGTAGAGCATTTGCCTTGCATGCCTGAGGCCCTTTCCCCAGCACCACATAAGCAAAAAGAAAAAAAGCCAGAAGTGGTGCTATGGCTCAAGTGGTAGAGCGCTAGCCTTGAGCTGAAGAGCTGAGGGACAGCGCCCAGGCCCAGAGTTCAGGCCCCATGACTGGACCCCCCCCCCCAAAAAAAAGACATCACTGCAGAGACTCAAAGCATCTTTGGTGTTATACACTAAGAAAAGAACAGATCCCAAAAACATACCTGGCATCCTAGCTCCCCAGGGTTGAAATCTCAGGAAGATCTGAGGCTGGCCTGGGTAAAAAAAATTTACAAGATCTCATTTGAACTAATAAACAGGCCCAGTGGGTGCATGTCTATCTTCCCAGTTACACAGTGGGATCTTAGTTTCAGGCCAGCCCCAGCAAAAAAGTTTGCAAGACCTCATCTCCACAGAAAAAAGCTATTAGTGGTAGTGTACCACTAGCCAGGTTAGGAAGTGTAAATAGAAGGATTGTGTCCAGGAGGGCATGGGCAACCATCAAGGCCCTATCTCAAAATTAACCAGACCAAAAGGGGTGGAGTATGGCTCATGCAGTAGAACACATGGTTAGCAAACAAGAAGCCCTGAGTTGGGGCCCTAGTACTGCCAAAAGAAAAGACATATCACTTCCAAGATTATCAGGATCTTAGGAGTTACATTCCAGAAAACAGTACATACATTTCACAGTCTTACACACAGCACAGAGAGTGAGTTTAATGGTTACCTGTCCCCAAGGGACTGCTCCTGAACATACACAATTGGGAGGAATTGCATGGTCACCAAGTGAAGTTGTGCACACACTCCCCTGAGCATCAGTGCCCAGCATCCCAGACCCAGAGGAAGCACGCTGTGGTGCCAGCTGCAAGACCTACAGCTCTGCCACAGACTTTGAGACCTGGGAAAAGTTACCTCACACACGCACCTCGTTTACTCTCACCTCAAAACAACATCAGCTAAATTCAAGAGAAAAGAACAGAAAGCAGAAAAATGAAGAGGGGACCAATCAAAACCTAGTCCTTAGGACATTACAAACAACAAATATGAGAAAGTTATGCAAGTTTGACAAATACTGAGAAAGAAGCAAAGGAGAAACGTGGCTACAACTTTTGCTACCAAAGATTTCCAGGGCACCTTTCCCAGGAAGCCAAAGTAAATGGGCGTTAAGTGGAAGGACAGAAGTGAGAAAAATATTCCCACCGTGCCTCAGAAGCTGCCGGGCTTCTGATCCCACCTGTCCTTCCCGCCGGTTTTGTGCACCTGGCTGACTCTCCTGGACACAGTCCCTGGGAAGGTCATCCTTCCCCAGAGGAGTGGGATGTGGCCACAGGCGGAAGCACGGCAACCTCTTTCATTTATCAGTTCACAAGCCTGCTCTAGGATCTCCAACTTAAAATAAACATACAGGCCCCTATCCCTCACATGCCTTGCCTCTCAGCCATTTACTCCAGAGACAATAACTGCTACCTGACCTCAACACGCCCTCTCCCGGGCACCTCTTCTTTAGGTGGACACACCCAATGCCCACATCTGATCTAGCATCAGTGTAATGCATTGGCACGGGTATGTTTTCATCGTCCTTTGCTCATTCTTTTACTTGTGATTAACCAGCCATGGATTTGGCTTAGTACAAAATCTTCCTTCCCCACAAGGCAAAATAACATGATGACGTTCAATGTCACCACAAGGCCGATTCCACCCAAACTTATCTAACAAGCCCAGGAACTCTTGAGGCTCCAACTAGACATCCAGTGGTCTTTGGGTTCCACCATGCCACATCTACCAGGCATGTCCAACCTGATCAGCATCACCACCAACTGCTCATCTGGTTGCCTGCTGGGTACCTCCCACTGGACTAGCCTCTCTTCTCAACAACGACTCAAGAGTTTTCCTACATCCCTCCTCCCTTCCTCAGCCTGATCTGTAACCTACCCATCAACAAGTCCTGGGAGCTCTCAACCGACCTCTGCCTCCATACCCACTACTCTAAGGCAGAGGTAACAAACACCTATACAACTCCTCCACATACCTCTCTCTTTATCCCCCACCTAATTAGTAGTTATAAAACAGAATTATAAACTATTACTCTCTGCCAAGACCATCTGTCAACATAAAATAGAAAAGTGTATCTCAGTGGAACAGTATGTGCCTAGCACACAGGAGGTCCTAGGTTATGAAAAACACATCAACAAAAAGACAACCCCAGAACATCACAAAGAAGCAAAACCAAAAGCCAATTACAAAAAAAGTCACCCTTCCCAATCAACTTTGTGGGTGTGGCCTGTGCTTCTGCCTGGCCTCAGAGGATACTGCTCACTGTTTTTCCAGAATCCGAATGGCACTTCCAACTTCAGACCTCTGCTTCAATGGTATTTTCATCCTTCCAAATGCAACATCACACTTGAGTTTGTCCAATTGTTTACAAAGCTGTTAACTCAGTCTGCAGAGCAGAGGCTTATGCGCTTGCTGAGTTGGCCATGTAACATGTGGAAATATACATTGTGTCCATATCTGCATGGTGTCACAGTCTGTCTGGTTCTCCAATGATGCTCCATTCCTGGAACTCTTATTTGGTGTGTGCCTGCTATAATCGGGGACCTGTCTGGAACCAAAGATGCTATGAATCTAGAGACCTACACTGACCTTGTACATATGGAGCAGAATGACTGTAGGAGACCATGGCAGGAGCCCTGGGTGCCTGAGCCTGATGCGCACAAGTGACGCTCTTGGAGAATTAAGTTGATGGTCACCTGGCCACGAATCCTAATTCACTGAGATTGACATAATGGGTCTCTTTCAGCATTTCTACCACACATGTGCCCCTGAGTCTCAATAGCAAGTAAACACCCTATTTTTAGTTAATTTCCAAAGTAACAGAACAAGCAACATTTTGCACACCTTCCACCACCTCGGATTACAAGGCTGGGCGGGAGAACAGTGGGGTAGTGTGTGCACCGCGGGGGCGGCCTGGCGGGCTGTTTCCATTACCTGCCCTGCTACTCTGCAGCAGACCCTCTTTCCACTCCCTCACAAGTTCCCTTCCCCACCCTGGGAGGCTCAGTCATGTTGTCTGGGGTGTTCATCCTAACACCCTATTCACAGGGATGCTGTTTCCACCCCATTTCCTCTAACGTACTAACTTCATTTCCCTTCCTGTTGTTTTTTTTTTGAGGTGGTCCTGCCCAGGAGGCTCAGGCTCTGTAAGTGTGGGTGGGGGCCCAGGACGTGGATCACTAGCCAGTTCCAAGCTACTGTGGGGGCTGTCTAGGGATATACACCTGTGCTGCAGACCTCTCTCCAGGACCCATGGGCACAAAGTAACACCAGAGGGCCACCGTGTGGACAAGAGGAAACACAACACCAAACATCTCACCAGAGAACTCACTGTCCCAGCTAGGGAGTCAAGGCTCAGTTATTGCCAAAGATCTTGACCTCTTTTTTTCTCCCGGAACTAGGTGTCTGTCACAGAGGTGCAGAAATTCCTCCTGAGAAATGCCTACCTGAACTTCATACTGTGCTAAAAAAAAGTTTTACATCTGTTCTCACACAATCAACATAGGAGACTTCTGGGCTGGGAAGGTGGCTCAGTGGTAGAGTTCTTACTTCGCATGCATGAGGCCCTGGGTTCAATTCCTCTAGCACCATATACACAAAAAAGGCCAGAAGTGGCGCTGTGGCTCAAGTGGTAGAGCACTAGCCTTGAGCTGAAGAGCTGAGGGACAGCACCCAGGCCCAGAGTTCAAGATCCACCACCGCCAAAAAAAAAAAAAAAGAGACTTCTGTAAACCCAAAAAATGAGATTTTTCCCCCCATCAGCAAGCAAGAAATGCTGCACCAAGTGAATACTAGCTATATGTCTTCTAGTTCAATTTAGTTATGGAACTGCCTGGAAAAAGGGTCAGACCCTTTAGGTTAAGGGCTCAGTCCCTAAGATGGCTCTCACTTCAGATTACAATCAACTCTAGGATGTCATATATATGTATGGATGTGTGTATGTATATATATGTGTGCGTGTATGTATACAGTATCCTATATAAATGTATCCATGTCCCTTCCTTGGACTGGATTTTTTCTCAAGTTGCTTATAAAACTGAAAGAAAGGACTGGGAAGGTGACTCTGGTAGAGTGCTTACCTAGCATGTATGAAGCCCTGAGAACCACATAAGCAGAAAAAGCTGAAAGTGGTGCTGTGGCTCAAGTGGTAGAGCGCTAGCCTTGAGCTGAAGAGCTGAGGGACAGCGCCTAGGCCGAGTTCAGCCCCCACAACCGACGAAAAAAAGAAAAGAAAAGGGGCTGGGAAGGTGGCTCAGTGGTAGAGCGCTTGCCTTGCATGCCTGAGGCCCTGGGTTCGATTCCTCAGCACCACATAAGTAGAAAAGGCTAGAAGTGGTGCTGTGGCTCAAGTGGTAGAGTGCTAGCCTTGAGCTGAAGAGCTGAGGGACAGCGCCCAGGCCCAGAGTTCAGGCCCCACGACTGGACCCAAGAAGGGGAGAGAGAAGGGGGGGAGGGAGGGAGGGAGAGAGGGAGAGAGAGAGAGGGAGAGAGGGAGGGCAGGAAAACTGAGAGAAACAGTTTAATTATGTTTACTTGTAGGCACTGCCCTCAAGGAACTTCCACCTGTCGGGCTTCCTGGACGTTCCCTGGACTCCGCAGACAGAAGCTTCACTACACAGGTACTGCTGATTACACCAACAGGACGAAGGCTATATGTGTATACACATACACGTGCATAGAAACACGCACACACAAGGTGCCTGTGTAGGAGACCCTTGCAGAGAGAAGGAGAGGAAAAATACGCTCTGCGCAGACGATTTAAAGGCCCCATGGCCGAGACTGTTTTGTGGCTCGCAGTTCTGAGACAAGGTGTTGCCTCCGCCTTCCCCGTGACGGGACTGCGCTTTAGCTTCTCTGGACATTTCTTTTCTTACCATGACCACATCCACCATGAAGACCTCAGCTCGCCGGGCGCCGCTGGCTCGCCCGGTCACCCCGGCCGCTCAGGAGCTGAGGTCGGAGGCCCGCGCGGGCGGGCAGGTCCCCGACTCGGGAAGGCCGGGAGCGCGCTCGG